AACGTGATACGTATCACGTTTTAACGTGATACGTATCACGTTTTAACAAGATACGTATCACGTTTTAACAAGATACGTATTACGTTTTAACAAGATACGTATCACGTTTTAACAAGATAATTATCACGTTTTAACGAGATACGTATCACGTTAAAACGTGATACGTATCACGTTATAACGTGATAATTATCACGTTTTAACAAGATAATTATCACGTTTTAACAAGATAAGTATCACGTTTTAACGAGATACTATCACGTTAAAACGTGATACGTATCACGTTTTAACGAGATACTATCACGTTAAAACGTGATACGTATCACGTTATAACGTGATAGCGCTCGGATTTTTTTTTCCCTGCCTGATAGCAACACGCTTCCGTATGGTTTTGTCTATTTTTGTCATTTTTTGTTGAGTGATGTCATTTTGACTTAATTTTTGGACGCCTGTCGTTTAATAAGAACTAACAAAAATGAAAGTCTCCTGCATGTTGAAGCAGAACATGTCAGTTTTTAACAGGTTAGATATTGACTGTCATTTCAGGGGTTGCAGCCGACACATTTGTTGCTGGTTAAAGGAGCCTCCAGGTTGTGATCGGAACAATAAAATACATTTTTTTTATAAAGTACTCCATTTAAGGCAAGAGCTACTTTATGGGGTAAGAGTCTAACTTTGTACATGGTTTCAATAATATCAAAATATTTTAGTTTTTCCAACATGGCTTCAAAATGAGCATCTAAAAGCTGCACTGACCTCCCTGCGCTGCATCTGCTGAGAATATTTCCTGCATTAGGAAACACAAATTACAGCACATSCACTAACCTTTCATCCTCTCAGCATAAACAGTAAAACATCTGCGTTTAGAAAATATTTTCAGCCTCATCCTGGAAATCATCTTTTACGGTGTTCAGCTCTGTAATRAGACATCCTGTCCTATTAAAAAGAAGAACAGTTTCTCGAAGATTCCAGAGGATAAAAGGAAAAACGGATGAATCAGAGCCTTAAATCTTTAAATAGCAGCTTTAAGCAGCAGGTTCTTCTGGACCCGGCTGCTATTTTTGTGCTTTTGTGGAAATCTGAACAAGTGAAGTTCATAAAACATTTCACTTCAAAATACACACGAGGCAAAAATAGTTCTTACAAAAAAAAAACTTTTAAAGAAGTTATAAATAGAACTGAGTGTTTAATATTGTTTTCAGGTTGATTATCTTTAGTTGTTTTCCTCCTCCTGGAGCTCATAATGAAATAATTCTTTATTAACGTCGCAGGAGAGACTCGCTTCATGTTTGTTTCTATCTGTGAGGCATCTAGCGTCGTACGGTCAGGGAGAAGCAGAACTCACTCAGGGGATAATTAATTAGCTCAGCCCGTTTTCCTTGAACGGCAGGACGGCGTCGACTGTGGCCTCAACAAACAATTATCTCTCCTCGCTGCAATTTCCTCTTCTGGCTTTGTGGAGGACATGCTTGTGTGAGCCTGCTGGGACGAGGTGACTCATCTTATTTTACAGAGAAAAAATTTTTTCTTCACCGAAAAGAAAAAAGAATTAAATGATAAAAATCATCCCCTGAAGACCGATAATATTTAAGACTTAAAATGTGCTAAAAGTACAAAAATGGTCATAAAAATCAATGTGGATTTAATGGACTAATGTTGTTTTGACGGTTAATGTGGTTTATTAGTGGAATTAGGTCTGTTTTGATTAAAGTGTATCTTACCCCCCTGTGAAAAGATAACTCCGCCCCAAGGTGAAATTTGAAAAATGCATCAAAGTGGGTAGGG